CAAAGTAAATGTATTATCAAAGTAAATGTTTTTGCCACTACTGCCATCAGTAAAGTGAACCTACATGCAGCAATGGTGGAAAATTGTAAGATAAAATCCTATTTTAGATCAGGATGTTATAGCTATTTAATAACTAGCTAATTGAAAAGGATTTTGAGCTACTGCTTATTATTCCTATCACAATCAGATGGGCTCTGTATAGCAATCTAAAGTATAGGTTTCTTTCTACCCACCTCTTACTGCTGTTTTTAAAGTCATACCATCTTGCAGTGATATCCTACCTGTATGGGTTACACTTTCTTGCTGTTTCTCCAGAGCTGACTCAATATGTGCTAGGCATGTCCCTTCTCTACTTTCTTCTATACTGGCTGCAACTGTATCACAAAAGAAATATCAATTTAGTAGAGCAAAAGGAAATACACAGAAAAGGTCACAAATGCAATTTCTTCTATTGCTGAGTTAAATGCTTTTTTTTCCCACTTTCTCTCACTCTCTTTCAAACTGTGTGCATTCCCAAAGTAATCAGCCAGCTTTTCATTCCAACACAACTTTCCTTTGTGGCCCAGGATAAAGTTTTTTCCTTGATTTTCTTTACTTGCCTATCTACATCACAAGAGTACTGTAATGATTAGTTAATGTTTATTCAGAATTTAGACACTGTGACAAACTCTGTAAATACTGAATAAAATTAATTTTAAAAATGTAAAAGCTAACAGTCGCTTTAAATGGTTTTATTGACAGTGCCTTTGGCATGAAACAGAATACAGTTGGTAAAGAACAAGAGGGAATAACCTTGTAAACAGTCACTCAGCTTCCTTTATTTGCCATATTTTCCAGAGACATAGCACAAAAGGAGTTTTTTGTGGATACCATGCTGCATTCCTTCAGCAAACTCTATAGTATGTACTTTGCTAATATAATAGATTCAAGTCAGACCTTCATCACACTGCAAATTAATCTGGAAAAGCCAAGCACTGTTTCATCTGTACCTTTATAGAATAAAAATGAGTTGGGACTTGGAAGAAAAGACTTTCTATTGGGCTGATAAACATTTGAGATTATCTGGAAATCCTGACCTGAATCATGTAAAGTTAAAATTACCAGAGTTGAACAAAAGCCCAAGCAACATCTCCACAGCTGAACCTCTGCAATACCATTAATTTAAATCATCCCAAGCAACAGGATATTAATTTGAACAGATTGTTGTTTTAAGCAGAGCAACATAACTAGGTTTTGGTCCTGCAACTAAATCCACAAGGACATTAATAGGATATCTGCCCTAGAAATCTAACCCCGGATCAGGGTCTGAGAACAGAATTTGACCTTTTGTATCAAATGCTCTTCCTCTGGCCATCTTGAATTTTGTAGGTTTGCTGTTTAAATATAAAAACACAATTTTTTTCCATTTAGATATTGCATTGAGAAATTTTATTGTTTAATCATGCCATTATGCCACTTGGTGGTTATAAAACTAATCTTTTTTCTGCAAAGTAAACAGTTAAAAAAGATAAATCTACTCTTTGACAGCTTTGTAGCTTAGAGTACACTGAAGTCTCTACAGGTTATTCTTTTAGCAGTTCCTGAATTTTCTTAAAGTAGACTTGGATCTATCTGTAAAAAAAGATCTATCTGTAAAAATCTGTAAAGATTTTTTTAGACATTTTATAAAATATTTTAAAAGGGAAGTGTTAGCATATATAATATTCAGGTAGCATATTCTTTGCTCTGCTTACCTGGTAGAGTCTTGTGGATAGGTAACAAATACAGACATTAAAAACCTACAATAAAAATGACAATTCAATATTTGTATTTCAGAGGCACATAGAGTTCCTTTTCAGAATCAATTGTCTGCATGTTAAGTGCTCTGTCAACATACAGAAAAATGCAAATGTGCTCTCAAAAGAGCCCAGTCTCACAATAAAGTACTAAAAATGTTTATATGCTACTGACACAAGAGGGCAGCATACAGGCGTGCTATGGGAAAATCCCTTACTGCAGAATATTATTGAGTATCAGCTTTATAGTTCAATTCTGTTTATTGATCATAGCAAAATTCATAAACTGGCAGAGTAATTTAATGTGTGAATATCAGATGAATGCCATTTTACAGCTACCATACTGAGAAAACATTTTTTTTCACAAATTTCCACCCATAATTGTGTCCCTTTGAAGTTTGTGCCTGCCGGTATTTTTCACCTGTGCCCAGAGATGCAATATGCTTTGCTACGAGTCATAAATATGTATTTTGGGAGGCTGGCCTAGTGTGGGAAATTCACGTAGAAGAAGGGAAACACTTTATGAAGCAAAGCAGCCAAAAGATTGGTTGTCTAGCTAGAAACCACACTGGCAGATCCGTCTCTGATGGCAGGCAAGGGCCAGCCTCAGTCCTCCCCTGCGTCGGGATCTAAAGCTGCCTTTCCCACATGGACACTCTTGTTCAGGATAAAAGGGCCTTTTTGGGAGAGTTTAATTCCCACTGTCTTTTTGGTTGTCATTTGAAGCTACCAAAGGCAACCTTCATAGTAAAATACCCAGGGATTATATCATCAGCATGTGTCTTATTTTCATAATCATTACACAATAGGGATTTTACATACAGGGAGAAAAGCTGTTTTCAAAAAAGTTGTGTGTTTTGGATGTTTACAGTTCTGAAAAACTGTGAACTGTGTCCAGTTGAATGTCATTTGTTTGCAAACAAGGTTGTGTTTTCTTCTATACAACAGTAAAATATTTCAGCAATGTTTAATCAATCAGCACTGACCTTTTGTCCCCAATGCTGCACATTTGTTTTCAATAAATGTTTAACTATTGATTTCTAAGGGGAAATGCTCACAACATGTAGAACCTACTTCAGGGCTTACACTGATTTTAACGTTATCACACAGCATGGTTGCTGTAGGGTTGCGTATGCATTTTAGGAGGTTAAAAAACTCATTCTGTATTCCCAGGGTCTTGTGACACTTTGGGCAGGGCAAGTAAATCTCCAGGAAGCCTGTCTCCTTTTTCATTTTGCTTCAGTTATCTGTCTGTATTCTCCTAAGATATGTGAAAATACTGACCATGAGGCAAAATTAAGCCCATAGTATAATGCTGGCTAAAGCTAGTGACCCTTTTCTTTTAACATCTGCCTGTTTGAGAATAGATCAGAATAATCCAAGAGTATGCCTATACTGCAGTCTCTGGCTAGCGTAGACAAACTTAGCCACATAACTTAGGTTTAAGCTAGATAAGCCCAGTTCTCATGGCAGGGAACTCACTGTGGGTCACAGATCCTGCCCCAAAAGTTGGATGTGAAACCACCATCCTTTCAAATGACTGCTGTTTGAATCTGCAGCTTGCTTATTTGTGCCTGGTTTCCATGGTATAAATGGAAGGGGTAAAAGTATTGCCCCCTTCATTACACCCATTCCAAAAGGGTAAAGGTTTCAGCTCAGAAACTGGGGAAATTATGCAGAGTACTGGAGGTGAAAGAGGCTCCTTCTCTTCAGGCATGGATACCGTAAAAAACTTAGGTTGCAACTGTTTTGCACTGATCTTAACTATTTTATCCTGAAGCACAGATTTTTCTGCAGGTTACTGATGTATTTTATAGGGTCCTTACAAATAAGGTAAATTGTCCCAAATCAATGGTTCTTTTGTTACCGTGGGTCACACGTTCCTCAGCTCTTTTGTCCTACTCAGTTTCAATGCACTCATCCAAACTTTTATGGGATGTTTGCTATTATCTTTCTCTATTATTCTGATATAGCTGCCATGGATAGCTGTAAAGCATTATTTACCTTTAAAGAAAGAGCTAATATTAATCCTTTGTAAATTTTCCCAAATCCACCTCCCTCTCCAGGAACTTTTTTGAAATGCTGGGCTGATACCAGTTACCAAAGACTAAAATATCCCATTGCAAAGAGCATTACAGCTATTTACAACTAATATTTTCAGGACTGAGTGTACTTCTGGGCATGCCTAAATTAGGCCAAACTTGTGTGCACCTGGAAGAGAAGGCATTTACACATACCTCTGAGGTAAGCAATGTGTGGACATACAGTGTGTTTGTATATGCAAAGAAGTGCACATATTTTTTAAGATTTTTGCCCTGTGTTTGGCGCCACCTGGTACAATTTCAGTCTGCTGTTTGGATTTGGGTATTTGAGACTAGACTTATCCAAATTATTGATGTATTCTGCCAAAAAGTAATCAAAATGTCTTGGATTCATCTCCTTAAATAATGCAGACATAACAAAAATTGGTAATATAATAAATCTATATGGCAACAAAAGGATAATCCATATCCATACTTGTATTTTTCAAATTATTGTGTGTCAGGGTGTATCTAGGATCAGATGTAGAGAGAACTTGGTTTCTGCTATATGTCAAAAGTTTCAGGTTAGTAACCCAAAGTGTTTTGGATCTGGCAAAACCTCGTTTTTTATGATGGTACATTGCATTGCACTGAGATGTGCCTGGATATTTTTGATCAAACAGCAGCAACAAAACATATTGTTTGATCTCACTGCACAGTTTGGGAGGCTGGAGTGAAAGCGGTGAGATTCAGGATGGTCTGGGTTTCTCAATATGCTTTGCAGCAGCATTTATATCAGTTGCATTAATTTCTAGCTTTTGGAGCGGGACTTGGGCAACAGTGTTTTGCTATCGGATAGTTTTGGGGAGTTTTTTGTAAAAATCTTCTTGGGCCCAGGTGCCAGCAGCAGTTCCCTCACTGTTTTTGTGCCACGTTGTGGTTTTAGCTGCACTGCTGCATGTGGGGTTACCGTGATCTCTTCCCTTCAGATGACAGCAGTAAGGCAGCCAGAG